AAAAAAAAAAAAAGGAGAGAAACCCTCACTTTCGTGGAGCAAGATACACCGCCGGCTGGCCCCGCCCCCGCGCCCCGGCAGCGGGCACCGCCGCTCTGTACAATTCATCGTGTTTAAATAAGCCCGGGACACCTCACACAGTAAACACAGTTATTGCAGGAGCACAGCACTCGCCTCTGTGGCCCAAAACCTCGACAGGCGCTCAGAATCATGATTTGTGGATCCCAAAAGGCGTTGTTGTTAACATGCAAAAAACATTACTAAACGATATTACCTAACTTCTACGGTTGCCAAATACTTGACCTTAATAAGGAAACCAATTAGAAAATACTTCGTTGTAGTGCTATACAAAAGTTATAAAATTAAGATTCTATCAACCACTTTTAAATATTCCAATTTTCCAACAGTGCAGTTTTCCACATCTTTATCACCACTGAACATTTTGAAGTAAAAAAACCCAAAACAAAACAAAACCCCAAAACAAAACCCAACAAAACCCCCCAGCAAATTAGATCAAAGTGTTTTAATCTTTGGATCCCTTTATTCCTGTGGCCTTCATATACATATACAGACACAAATGACCAGGTTTCTGTTTCAGCAAAAAGTTGCAACTAGTCATTCGGAATTGGCAAAAAGTCCATACTATGTCATTTGTGACTTCCCGGTCTTAGAACCAGAGTCTCAATGTCTCCCAGCTATGGTCTATCAAAATGCAAACAACTTCAAATACTAAGAATTCTTTAAATTGCTTAAGCCTACAGGTATTACAACAAAGTTAACATTTCAAGAATTGACAAATGGAGACATACTTTCGTCCCAGGCATTCCAGGAGAATCAAGAACTCATATGCCTGGTCCATTATTAAAAAAAGCTAATTTTATCACTAAGTAAAATTAATTGCAAGTTTTGATGTATGAAAATTTCTTTTCTTCCTTATTTGAAAATATCTCCTTAATTTGGTCAAATCCTGTGATATGCCAGAAACTACAAAATCAAATTCCTGCAAGAGAAGTGAAGAGCGTATCCAGTTTCGTGTAATGGAAGAACATTTTCAAATCTTCATTACAGTCCAAATATAAAATCAAACATTTAAGCCTGAAAAGCTGCTAAAGAAAAAAACCCAACTAATTCAGTGTTCTTCAGCATATCAACTTTTGCAATTACACAGTATGTTTGCCGACTTAAAAATGTTTATTCTTTAAAAAATTAGTTGCTTTTTATACAGCTATACAAAGTTCGTAATGTTTCTTTGGCAATGGGATATAATGGAATTTTACAACTATATAAAAAGTTTCCTTTGCCTAAGAAACAATATTTACTGTGTGTACATATTTGACTGACAAAGCAAGTTTCCTACTGTCCAGCACCCTAGTTGATAAAAGTACAACTATCTCAAAAGGGATATTACAGGATTTCCAAAAAACAACCTTCAGTGGATCAAAACACTCACAGTATCGACGGCCTTCTGCATACAATTGTCCTTACAACTTGAAGCAATTATCAAATACAGTTTAGTAATAAGAAAAATCCTTTCAGTGATGAAAAAATACTTAAACTCCATCGAAGTACTGCTTTATAATTAACTATACATAAGAAATTACTTATCCTTCTGTCTCAAATATATTTAATGCTCACTGTTTTCAAAGATGGCCATTTTTCAAAAGTAACTGCATTACACCCCTTTGAAATTAAATAGTTAAATCCCAGTGCTGGTGACAAGTATACAGCAAATTAACTTCATCCTTTGCAGAGATTGAAACTAATTCTCCGGATCAAGAAGATCTAGATGTTCACCCGGTTTCAGCTTTCTTGTAGACTATGCAGCAACTTTGTTGTCTTTCTAGAGGGAACAATAGCAGAACATTAAAATTAATTTTGCAAAACAAAAATACCAAATTAACCTGGGCAACAGCACTGGGAGAAGATGCACTGTGATGGCTACTCCCCACCTCCTGCAGTCAGAAAGGAGACCTCCCTGCGTCAGCAGGGGAGCATCTGGTCAAAATGGCCCCAGCCTGGCGCACGCTGAGGCTGCGCGTCACTTTGACTAGACATCTGGCACAAATCCTCGATCTTTACACCGCCTCCTACTCATCTAGAAGGCTATGAAATTCTTTCGTTCAGAAATTCAGATCTTTGACCTTCAAGCCCTCATTTAAATTCATGCTCAGCTACCAAAAATTTCTTTCAATCATAGGACTAATTTTTCAAACTAATGAAGGGAACTGAGGGACACTTAGAAATCTGCAATTTAAAAATGCCACCCCCTCCCCTTTTAAATTAAAAATATTTAAATCTTCCAACAGATAACAAAGATTTTGTGTGGCAAAACTCTTAACTGCTCATGCAGTAAACTACCAGAAAAAGTTCTTCTGTCCCAGTCAAAATTCTAAAAGCCTACATTTACTTGCACCAATCTCGTTAACTATATTTGTACTGATTCTAAACAGTGTTAGTACTATTACTACTACCAGTACTATTTCTGTTCCGTAACAAGCTAACATTTGAGTTGTATATACACGCTCAGTGCCAAGAAAAATAGCTTGCACTGAAAATTATTAAAGGATTTGGGTTTTGCAAGCAACTGAGCTCTGCTGATTTACATAATCTGTATGATCTATGAGCTTTCATAACGAGGAGAATTTACGTTGTTTCCCAAAAAAGGAAGTGCACCTAAGATACAACTAGCACAGAATACATCACGCTACCAGCTGGGGCTGACAACTGACTTTGTCCTTCCTCTGAATGGCTGGTAGGAAGAAGAGTTAAGATCTTCAACAGAAAACAGAGAAACAGGTATCTTAATAGTGTTGCAAAAGCAACAAATTGCGTAACTATACTGTAAAGGAAGATTCTACTTTTTAGCCATCATATCTCTCGCAGAACAAATTACTACCTCTAGTAATGCTTACGTGATTATGAAAGCACGTTTGTACATCAGGTTACTTCAGTTCGCAGACTTACATGGTGGCTTGTGCATAATACTTAAAGGAACTTTAAGCTTCATTCATATTTAACTAAAAACAAAGTGGTAGTACTTATTTTAATCTTTTAAAAACACATTCTCTATGGGATGGACAGGGATCTTTTGTTTTGAAGCTTTTATGCCCTCTGTCCCACAGTTCATTTTCACTGAATGGCTAAAAAAAGTCAATCCTGCCTTAGCTTTCCCAACAGCTACTGGACATATTTATGTAAAGTTATAGCTAAAGACAAAAAAAGAAGTGTGTAACAGGACCTTACAGAACTCAAATACTTTTTTATCCTCCTTTTTGCAAAGGGTCATCGCTATGCTTCAGTAACTTCAATTACTTTATTTTTGGGGTTATATAGGATCTTAGAAGTCCATAGGCTTTGTGCCAACTCATTCACAAAGAATTCAAAGAAGTTTGCTGCACGCTGGAAGCGAGTTAAATTACTCCCTCTCAATCTTTACATTTTACAATATTGCTTAGGAAAATGCTTGCAATTCACATTTCTAACAGTTCTATTAAATCTGCAGAACTTTTACCTTTTCTTTTTTTTCAGTCTCCCCCCACTCCCCCTGCTATAGAACAAATATTTAAGGCTTGTGAAGAAAGGTAGCTTTTAGTTTTGATTGCTGTTGATAGTAAAATGCTGCTATGTAACTAGAATTTCAGCATTAATGGACTTTCAATTAAGTAGCTCAGAGTACCTGCAAAATACTATTCAAAAAATTCTAGTTCAATGTCAAATCTAAAAGCAGGAGTGTTTTTACCGCTAGTTTCCAAGAACAGCGGATCAGGTCATAGTAAGATTAAATGTATTTTACCCTATATTCAAAGTCAGCAAACTCCCTGCCTCCACGACCTCCTCTGAATCCACCACGAAATCCTCGGGGGGCAGTGAAGCCACCTCTTCCACCTCCTCGTCCTCTTCCACCTCGGAAGCCAATCCCCCCTCTGCCTCTGTACCCTCCACGGCCACGATTGGGACGCAGCGGTATTCCAAAGGTCTCGGCATTTAATCTTCTTTCCTCAGCCCAGGTGGGTCGCCGTTCTCTGCCACACAAAAGCAACAAGGATTGTTTTAAAACATCCTTCAGAAGGAAGATCGCCTGGCTTAGTTAGAATTGCCAGAAAACCCATGAAATTAAAAATGATACATTAATCACATTGTAAATCTCCACATTATCCCTTCTGCAAGAATCTAGGTGTCTGCCACAATTCATTTAACAAAAAGGGATATGTTACAGTATCATTAATTACATATTAATAATGCTGTAAGAGTTTCCCATGTAGAAGAACACAGTCTGTATCCTCTGCACACATCATCGTATAATAAAATAAATAAAAGCTGTCTGTAATTGAAAACAAGAAAGTAAGAGTTTGCAGTTATGGATGCTAACTTATTTTATCCAGCTGTCAGTACAACAAAACAATCCCCCTGCCCCATAATTCAAAACAGGTCAGCAATCCCAATCATTTTGTCTAATAAAAAGGCAACAGCAAAAGATAAGCTTTCGTTTTCCCGAAACACTATCGGCCCATTCAGACAACACTACTGGCCAAGACTGTTATGTAATCTACTTTGAAACCACTACCAAAGCACAGTCATAACTGATTTTAATTAAAGTGGTAATTTAGTAGCAAAACAAAACAAAAAACACACTTTAGTAAATCTGGAAAGGAGATTCTAGAGCATGTACACCAAGTTCTAGAGCATGGTTCTAAACCAACATTGTAAAATGTCTTTCTATTAAGGTATTGTACTTGCCCACAAAGAAATTTTGTTCTTCATATTCCTGTTTTATTTTTGCCCACTGCATGTGGAAATAAGCTTTACTCACTTTCGATTCAGAGTTGATTGTAATGAGTAGTGCTGACACCACCTTATGACATAAACATGCATTAAGCGGAGTAACAAGCTTCCCTTTGCAGGCCATACCTATTGTCATCACAGGAGATGTTATCAAAGAAGGATTTGGTCTTGTCATAGTAGCAGTTGGGTCCAAGTGGATCTTCCTCATCTGCATTCCCTTCACTATTTTGGGTATCAACACCTGAGTCACCTTTGTCTTCTCCATTTACAGGTTTCTCTGGTTTCTCAAGTTTATCTTCTGGAAAATAAAAATAAATAGAAGCCTTCCAGACCATCATACTAAACAAAACAGCACTGTTAACTTATTCCCAGACAGACAGACACAAACTATACTGAATGCTCAAAAATACAAAAACCCCTCCAAAATTTAATGTGAGAATCAAATATTTTGACACATAAATTAGGACATTTTGCTGCTGCTGGCTCGAGGTTTGATATCCTCTGTATTCTCTGTGGGTTTAATGAACAAATAAACCTGTGGCAGAATGGATTCGATAGTCATCCATTTCCTAACCAGCTAGCTACCTCCTTTCCAGACTTAATAGCCTCACTCGGTCATTCACAGAATCATAGAATGCTTTAGGTTGGAAGGGACCTTGAGAGATCATCGAGCCCAACCCCCCTGCAGTGAGCAGGGATTGAACCTGTGAACTTGGCGTTATTAGCACCATGCTCTAACCAACTGAGCTAGCCCGGCTGGTCCCTCACAAAAGCCATTCCATGGTTTTGCTCATCCCTGTTGCCCTTCTCCTTTGTCTTCTGGCTTTGCTGTTATCTCCTTGGAGACACAGGGCTAGCATTCAAGACATTATGCTGTGAACTGACTTTAAGGTGTATTTCTTTCCTAACAATGCCTGACATTCAACTTACTGTTTTGACTGGTATTGAAAAAAGCAGCTGATGTTTCAAAAGAACTAGCTATTAAGATCTTGAAGTTTCATTCCTAAATGCTTACAGGTTAAATCTCATGATGCTGTGCATAACTTCAGATAACCAGCTCAACCTTTCCACAACACACACAAATTACCACTGTCTCATAGAATATTTCTATAGCTCTTTATGGTTAGCTTTCCCTTTCCACTTTATTATTCTGAAAAAATTAGTATCAACAGCAAACTGTCAACTCATTTAAAAATGATCCAGAAAAAGAGGCAAGCACCAGAGAACAAATCCTATGGGACTGACTGGTGTTTTTTCTCTACACTGAAATCTATCCATTTATTCCTACCTTTTGTTTCCCAGCTTTTAGCCAATCGCTTACTGAAATAGGGAACTCCCTATTTTAACCCGTAACAATTTTGTCCAAAACCAGTAGCAGCAGTGTAACGAACAGGTGGCTGGTCACAAGAGAATGAGGTAATTAAAACAGAAGCCTGCTAGAAAACAAAACAAAAGTGCTGGCAGTATGGATTCAAACTACTCCTGTGTTTCTTTGGAAAAGGGTAAAAGCAAAGAAATGCTAGAAACTTTCTTAAATTGAAGCTCTCGTGCATCCATCAGCAAAGTTCTGATCCCAAACTCAGGTGTTTGTGATTGTGTTTTCAATTATTGATAGACCAAAAGCAGAATACAGTTTTTCTTTTGTTGCACCTTTTCCAGAACTGGAAAGTAAACTCACACTATTGGGACTTCCGCTCGAGTAATCTGCATTTTAAACCGACAGACTTGTTAGAACATGATGTATGGTATTTGCTAGTTAAAATTCCTTCAAAACTCAAATGTTGACCCAAGTATTTAATTAAATAGATGATCCCAGTTTACTTTTTGATTTTTTTTAACCTTTTTTTTAATGACTACAAACAAGACTTAGTAGGATACGCCTTTCAAAAGTTGTTCTCCAAGGTAGAATTAAAACAGCAAGACACAGTTTTTCCATGCTCAAATCCAAAGCAAAAATTGGTTTACCTTTTAGTTTAAGTTTATTATGAAATTCTCTATCAATTTCCTCCTTGTTGAATTGTGCATTTGCACTTTCAAAGTCAAAGTCCTTCTCAAACTTCATTGGACCATCCCTCCTAATACCAAATCTTCCTCGGCCCCCTCTGTGACCTCCACGGCCTCTCCGTGCTGAAGGTCCACCTGGAACTGAAGAGAGGGAAATTGTTTGGTTTTATTTTGTGGATTGTTTTTTCTTTGAGGGTGATGGGGGTGGTTGGTTTTTTTTAGGTGGGTTTTTTTGTGGTGTTTTGTTTTTTAATTCCTGGGTAACAGGTTGGGACTTCATGCATCCTCTTCCTGCACTTCTGTTATTAAAAGTCTTGTCAGAGCAGCTTGTAATTTGTAAATTCACTTACAATAATTATGACAGTAACACAGAAAGCATGACAGTACTGAACTTGGGTACTAAAAGACTTTCTAGAAGTCATTAAAAGCTTTCAGAAGAAGAGTTAAAATGTTAGTGGCTTTTCAGTGAAGTATTTTCATAGAAAGGTAACATGTTTTATTTCATGCTATTGTATTTATAAATCCATGAATACTGCTTGGTTTTGCATTTTTATTCAAGTTGCTTAATATAGAGCAACCAGCAGAGATTTTTCTCTTTAACGTTGACTTTTTGTGCTTGTATTATTCTGATCCAATGCAGTTATTGTTACCCCCTAGAAACAATTATGTGAAAGCATTCTAAATACATAAGTTCTTTATTTCCGTAATCTGAACTGCAAGATTTCTGGATGTTAGAAACAAAGTCCTAGCACTTCGCAAACTATACACAATGCTGTATTTTAGCAGACTTTTAAAGAACTTAATGAAGTCTGAAAACAATGATAGCTATTTCTCAAAACAAGATTTACCAATTTGTCGTTTGTTTTCATTTCTGAGTTCATTTTCTGATCTTGAAACCTTGTGTGCTTCAGCTAAAGTTGGAAATAAAAAAATGATTTGTTTATCCAATTAGGTATTTTTGATCATACTTTCCTATATAGTTATATAGGTCAGATTTTAAAAAAATCCAAACTTATAAAAGTAAACCACAAGTTTAACTCATAAAAGAAAAAAAAATTTAGAATATATGCTTGACTTTAAAAAGAAATATATATAAGCCAGCTCTCTGCTGGCCAGTCTACCAGTAATGGACAGCAGGAAGATTCCTACACATTACCCTTAAAAAGAGCACTTCAAATGTGTATGGAAGAAAATAAGCCACATGAAAATTATCCAAAGGTACCTCGTCTGTGCTCTTGATTCTCTAACGATTTTTGGCTAGCAGACACCAAAGGTCTGGCTGGTACAGGACTCCTCCTCCCAACTGGTGCTGGAGTAGGCAAGTGGGCTGAAGCTGTTTGTACTGCTTGTTCCATGGTGGGGCTCCTTCTCAAATGATCTATCTGAGGACTTGAACGACCTGGGAAAAAAACAAACCAAAACCAAAACCCCAAAAGTTATTTCTCATCTACAAATTTGAGTTACTGGTCTCAACCAATCTAGACTGACAGGTTTATCTGCCTTACCAGTCAAGATAGCTGTGTCCAAAGAAGAAATAAATATTTCTGCACCCTCAGATCCACTAATCCAGAATGAAGGATATTTAGCAATTCCCCTTCCCCCAGTCTAAAAGAAAAAAATGGGTAGGACAATTAATCCCTACCAACCCATCCATGATGTGCATTTAGCTGTGGAATGAAATTTTTTGATTGACTGGAGGTGAAAATACTCTCTGCCTCCCTGGAAAGACAGCAGAAAGTGACCGCTCCCAAAGGCAGAGATACAGTTACGATACTGAAATTTCAGTTCATCCAGCACATTCTGGTGTATGATCACCACAAAATAAATGAACAGTGATGGCTCATGCCAGGCATAATGCAGATGAAGGAGCTATGAAAGCTTCCCCACAAAGTCCTGTTCGTACACTTCAATTTGCAGCATGAGTGACTGGAGCCAGAAGCTTGTTTAGAATGGAGACATTTGATCTAGCCAGACAAGTTTATGACACCATATAGGTAAATCTACTACAAAATTAGAATAATGCTCAAGTCCCAGTAAGTAAAAGGCAAGAATAACATTGTATCTCATAAAAAAAGCTAAACAAAAGAAGGGAAAGGGGGGGGGGGGAGAGAGCGAGAAACCACTGAAAAAAAACCCCAAACCAACCACACCACACTTAAAATCTACAAAGATGACAAATATTTTTAAAGGCAAACACACACAGAAAAAAAAACTTATTGGTGCCACACAGGAAATTTTGTGGCAGCATGTATGTTCATCTAGAGCAGGTCATGCATTAAGTCCAAGAATCACACAGGTTTTAATTTCACCTACAGGAAAGCAAGCTACTCTTTCAACAGAGAAACAGTAAATGCTCAGCATGCTTGCCCACACTGCCCGCG